ATTTTCGGTTTTTCCGTTGTAGTATCCGACTGCAACCATTAGGAAAACCAGCGGATTTCAAGTCACAATGAAAGAACAGCGGGTCAAGCCAGGCTTGCTCACCGCACGCTTGAGAAGGGCCTTCTGACTCATCTAACAGATATGAAACCAATGAATGTATCTTAAGATTTGTTCGGAAGTGAGCAAAGCTCAGCCTTGCGAATAATGTTTAGCCGATTACCAACCCTTCTCTAGGATGCGGCACGCATTCTACTTACATTCAGAATCGTATCGCCGGCCGATACTCGAGTCAATGTTATTATCCTCCCACACGAATCCGGTACCAATCTACCGTCGCCGAGAGTAGAAGGATTGGTCGGCCTGGGCGTGAGCCGAGCCGACGTTTGACCCCCGGACCAGCGCGTGGTGAGAGTCATACCACTTGCCACTTACACTACCCGTGCCTTTAATCCCTTTTTTTGTGATAATTCCCCGGAAATTCAGAAGATCTATGAAAAGACTAGAAGATCTCTGAAAAACAGAAAGAAAGAGGTATACTGCGGGGTTGGAAGAAAATTTCATAAAAAGAGAACTTCCCAAAAATTGTTGCAATTAATTTAGCTTCGCTTTCTGAGCACGGAACGGTTGGCTGCTGGGGTCACTTCCTTTCCCTCATAAATCTTGCCCATGTCGAAACTCCCGTTTGCGACTCTTGGATGGAAAAAAACCAAATTACCAATTGATGGATCAAGTCATGGGTTGAAAGCGCAAGGCAGATCTTCACAGTCATCAAAAAAACTGCGGATGCTCAGAAGACCGAAGGATGCGTTTTGATAGGAACTCCTTCCCAAGAGGCTCTTCTATTTCCTATCAACATCTCTCACGCTAACTTCCTCTTTTCAGTTGTCCAGAGCCATGTTAAAGACAATTACCGCGACCAAGTGTTACGGGTGGTAGGTGCTCAGTCATAATCAGTAGCCCATAAGAAACTCCCACCAGACAAAGAAACGAAAAAGAAACCTTGGAAACACTCTGAATTGAGACCCTCCTCTCAGCAGTGGGGCCGGTGCCTTGGACGAGTTTTTCGGATGTCAGACAAGTCCAGTCAGCAGCATTCGCCGTGCAACCAATTCCTCGGCAGCAAAGAAAATCGCCCTACGACGCTCCAGGCAACGCTATGTACACACGCAATTCCGCTTGTAAGCCGTTGTCTTGCAGGGTGAAATAATCGTGGTTGCAATGGTTGCAATAATCACGCGTCTCTAGCTTCTTTATCTCGCCGTTTCGAGTGACGAAAGTGGTAATTCTCTGACAGTGCGGACCCGAGTGCCAAATGCACGGAGGCATTTTGCGGACTACTTGATCGCGGGAAATGTCTTTAAGTCTGACAAAACGCTTCGATTTTCATATGGAAAAGGAATGGTCGAAAAGTCATCGTAGTAGATGGAAAGAAAAGCAACCATATCAAAGAAATGAAAATGCCATAGGGGAAATCTCGAAAAAAGAGTAAATGCCCTCATGAAATTGGTTAGACGTTAGCCAGTAGAATAAGTGCAGAAATAAGCCCTCAAGTATATACTGCTGATAAATGAGAACTACAAACCATTTGAAGAGTTCGTTGCATAGACACGGTGTGCCAAGAGTCGTCATCGAACCTCGCCCGTGGCAACTCGTTGAAAATCCTTACAAGTCGTGGGGCAGTACCGGCGAACTTTGAGCTGGCTATGAGGAGCGCCTTCCTCAAGGTAGAGCTGCATGTAACTCTGAAATTTACTCCACTTATGACATGATACGGATCTCATGGGTGGATCCAGTGTGTTCTCAACATTGTCCAGACTCACGCTGAACTGGAAGCACACGCCCTGGGTTTGAAAATTATGAGTTCTGCGGCCTATCTTCTAATAACAAGATGGCAAGTGAGTCAAATGGAGAGAACGCGGAAAAACTCCCCGCACGAAAAGCCATAAAGAACCCCACGCTGAACCGCGCTTTCACGTGCATAAGGCATCTTTACACTTTGCGGCAGCGCCTACCAGCGTTTACCAGCACCCGCCAGCGACCATCACCGATTGAGGGAGTAGGAAAGTATCTATGTCAATCTGGCGTCTACCACGTCCACCAGGGATAATAAGTAGAGAGTATGGGGAAGTAGTAGGGTAGCAGACTGCTGGTAGGTTCATGGGGAAGTGTGGGGGAGGTAG